GCTGTGTACATCATTTTGTGTCTGTGCAATAGAGGCTCCATGTCCGTTCCAGGTCATAGCTTTCAGTGCCTTGGGACGACTTTTGCATGTTCCTATGAGTTGATTGAGCTCCTCTTTCTTCCCCTTGTTAGAGCCGACAGTGACGCCAAGGTACCTGTAGGGGTCAACCCATTCAAGTGTTACACCATTAATTTGTAGTTCTTCATTTTCTCCCCCGCTTGTGATGAGAGTATGTTTTTGTCTTGTTTGTGGAGAGAGTGAAACCGAACCCAATGCATTTCCTTCCGAGGAGTTCAATGGACTGTTTAATTTTTCCCAAGGTGGGAGCTTGTATTAGGACATCATCTGCATACCCCACTTGTTGTGTTCCTACCGGGAAATCAATATTTGCAATGGCGTTCATAAGTACATTGAAAAGTGTGGGGCTTAAGACTCCTCCTTGGGGGATAACGAGTTCCATATTCATTGTTCTTGAGACTGCTCCATTGAAGCAAACCTTGGCTTTCCTCCCTGTGAGGTAGTCTTCAACTCATTTCATGAGTCTCCCCTTGACAAACATGCATGGAAGCTCGTCCAGGATCGCAATCCCCTGTGCTTTGTCGAAGGCTCCTTAGATATCAACAAATACAAAGTACCTAGCTGTGTCATTAGCCAGGTAATTAACTATACAATTTGCTGTGCTCCGTCCTTTAACAAATCCATTGACCCCCTCCCCTAACCTGCCTATTTTGTGCAACAGTCGGTTTAGGATGATCCTTTCAATCATCTTACAAGCGCATGACATGAGCCTGATAGGTCTGTAATTGTCAGAGTCATTGGGTTTCGGTATGGGGACAATTACTGCATGTTTCCATTTTGTGGGCAACACTCCACTTAGGAATGACTTGTTAAACGGATGGAGTAGCAGATTCCCAGACACGTCACACAGTGCATTAAGTATGACGTAGGTGACGCCAGCCTCACCAGGTGCTGTACTTTTACCCTTTTTCATAGCCCCCCTTACTCCCTGGGCTGAGATTGGTTCCCCATATTCGTCATCACTAGACAGTGCTCTTGTTATCCTAATCCTTCTGTCATTATGTCGGAGGAACTGTTCCCTGCTTACTTCTGCAGGGAGGGAGGAGGAGGTTATCTTGAGATGATTTCGGGGCTTTTTTTTTTTAGTGTCCCCACGGCCCGGTCCTCGACTAGGCCTCCCAGTATGACGGAGGAGGAGGATGCTGTAACACTCCACTTGTGAATTAGTTCTTCAGCCTTACCCTGGGGGTCTTTGTGAGCCGCAGGCCGGGCTCTGCCTCCCTTAGCAATCTGAATTTTTGCCCATACTTGTCTTTCAGATATTTCCCTTCCAATGGAGCTAGTGAATTCAAGCCATTGTCTTTCCTGCTTTCAAATCTTCTCTTCCCTGGCTACTTGACACAGTTTTAAACAGGTCTTGGTTGCTTTCAGTGGAATGCCTCCGGTGCTCTCTACTCATGCTCCTAACATTTGCATTGAGCATCTTTATGTAATCGTTCTCACATAATTTTATTTTCTTCTTCTGAGGGTTACTGCGCCCAGTCGTACGGTGCGGAACTCTGAGACAGCTCTCAATTTGGTGATTAAGGTCATCAACAAATGTATCAATGTCTTCTGGGATTTGGTATTCCGTGAACCAGTCACTCATCCTGTTTATGAAGTGCGGCCTCATATCTGGTCCGAGTGATAACCTTTTTCTTTCATTCGTCTCTTTCCTTCTCTTGCTCATGTCGACGGTGGTAATCAGCGCCCAATGGTGTTGGGTCACTACATAAACTGTGCACAATGTGTGTACTGGCATCCGTGTCCTGTGCATTCAGCAGGAGAGCATAGTCTAATCTTCCTCCTCTGAGGTGAGTTGGCTGTTCATCACCCAGGACTCTAAGGTTTTCACTTTCTCTGACAAAGAGTGACAGTTTCCGTCCATTGACATTGGGCTGATGACAGTTGGCACCAAAATATGGGTGCTTGGCATTAAGGTCACCGACCAGCAGGGTAGGTTCTTCATTAACAAACTCAGGCAGTGTGTCAAGGTCAAGTTTACTCTGTGGCACATATAGGTTGATTATATGTAGAGCATTATTGTTTAAGTGAAGGGTTACTCCCAGTGATTCAAACTCATCCCCCATGTGCAGGTCATCAATAATCTGTGCGGGAATGTTGTTATTTACAAAGGTAGTGAGGCCCCGTTTTCTTTCTTTTGCTGGAAGGGAGAACTTCTGATTACCGCTGAGTCTTGGGTTGAAGTCATCACCTACTAGTGTTGCTTGTAGCACTATGACGTCAGTTTGGTGTTCACGGGCGTACCGTATGATGTCATTAATTCTGTTGCGAACTTCACTGCAATTGTAGTATAGTGAGATGTTCTTCACTGTTAGTATCCATTTTGAAGTTGTTTGCTAACTGATGCACTTTGAGCATTATTATGATGTTCACTTTTGTTATTGTGTATTCTGTGGTGACTGGTGTGTGCACTGGTGTTACTGTGTGCACCGGTGTTAGTGTGCTCTGGTGTTAGTGTGCTCTGGTGTTCCTGTGTGCACTGGTGTTACTGGGTGCACTGGGGGGTACTGTGTGCACTGATGTTATGGAATCATTGTTGTGTCTGCTGTCATATATCATGGCAGCTTGTGCAGCATCACCTAGTACCAGACTCCGGCATGTTAGGCCTTCACATGATGGACTCTGCTGATGCAGAAGCTGGAGGATTTGGTCCTGTGTCATTTTAATTTGATCAAGGCCGTTCCCAAGTTCTGTTTCCTCTTGCATTATTTCTTGGACGACTGGATGATTTCGTATCATATTATCAAGTATTGTTTTGATATGGGTCAGGGTGATGGCTTCTTGGGGGTCAGGAAGGGGGTTGGTTGGTGTTGTTGACCATGTTATTGTTTGTTGTCTTAGTGACACCTTGGTATTGTTTGGCAGTGTCTTAGTGACAGTGTCTTTGCATTCAGTAACGTGTGGCAATTTAGTGTGTTGATGAAGGTTTGATACTGTCAGTGGCTTGTGCCGTTATTGCCAGAGTGTTCACTTACTGTTCAGTTATTTCACTTTTGTTCATGACGTGTCCAGAGAGTTGTGACTGTGGTCTCATTAGCACCTCTCAGAGTGGTGGGAGCGGAGTCTTGCTGTTGATGTGACACAACACGATGGGAACGTGTTGATAGCTCTGATATGTGACACTCTTGAGTAACGTAACGTATGTCATTGTGTATTAGTAAGTCAGTTGTTGAATAAATATATTGTTGGTAGTACGCGTGTCTTTTGGTCACTCCTCATTCTGAAGTACTGTCCCCCTCCCGCATGTTCATGATCAATTATAACTTGTAATAATTTGGGTTGACTCCGGGATCAAGCCCAGAGCCTCTGTCACTGAATACATAATCGGTGTGACGACCAATCCTTTATCTTCCAGAGAGCCAAGAATGAGAATCTCAGTGTGAGAAAAAAAGCAGAGAGACAGTGTGAAAATGATATAGGAAATAAAACCAAGACCGAAATTAAACTGCTCCACAATCACGTCAGGAGGCAAACAACAGTGAAAGAACAGGTAATGAAACAGACCGAGTGAGGACAGGTACACAGAGGTGAACCTTTGTACAGGTACCTGTATCTGTACCTGTACGAAGAGGTGTATGATGAACGAAACGAGATATTCAAGGAGGTCTTCACAATAGAACGAAGTAAAGTCCCTGAACTAGGAGAGGTAGGAGAAACCAGGCAGCCTTGGAAAGGTTCGAAATTACCAAAGATGAGGGAGGTATCTGTTGGATCTGGACGAGAGAAAGGCTGCTGGTCTGGACAGAAGCTCACCATGGTTACTGAAAGAGTATGCAGAAGTACTTTGCTTGCCACTTTCCACAGTATATAGTAGGTCACTGGAGACGGGTGACCAACCAGAAATTTGGAAGACGGCTAATGCAGTCCTAATATACAAAAAAGACGACAGGCAAGAGGCAGTGAACTGCCTTCCAGTGTTTTTAACTTGTATACCATGCAAGGTGATGGAGAAGATCGCGAGAGAAAACTTAGTAACACATATGGAGAGAAGGGACTTTGTGACACCACCAACATGGGTTCAGAGATTGTAAATCTTGCCTAACAGTTTCAATAGAATTCTTTGACTAGGTAACGAAGATTAAGCAAGAAAAAGGAGAGTGGGCATACTGCACTTTCTTGGACTGACGGAAAGCCTTTGACACAGTATCACACAAGAGGCTGGTGCATAAGATGGAGAAACAGGTAAGAGTAACTAGTAGAGTGCTCCAGTGGATAAGGGATTATCTAAGCAATAGGAGGCAGAGAGTTACCGTGAGGGGCGAGACCTCAGATTGGCGTGAAGTTACAAGCAGAGTCCCACAGGGCTCTGTACTCGGACCTATCCTGTTTCTAATATATGTAAATTATCTTCCAAAAGGTATAGACTCATTCCTCTCAAAGTTTGCTGATGATGTCATAGCATGAGTCTTCAAGATGTCCTGAACAAACTGAAGGAATTGGCCAACAAATGGCTCTTTGAGTTTAACTTGATCAAATGTAAAGTAATGAAAACATGTGTAGGGAGCAGGAGGCCAGATATAAGATACTGTATGGGAGATTAAATTCTTCAAGAATCAGAGACAAACCTGTGGGTTTATATCACAATAGACCTGTCACCTGAAGCCCACATCAAGAGGATAACATCAGGGGCATATGGCAACATAAAAAATAGCATTTAGAGACCTGTGTAAGGCACTCAATACATGGAGCGCAATAGGGTCAGGAATATGTACACCAGTTGATTGACAGTAGATAGGGGGAACCAAAGAGCCGAATCTCAACTCTTGTAAGCACAATTAGGTGAGTACACACACACACACACACACACACACACACACACACACACACACACACACACAAACATTGGAAATTACGCGTTCCATGCAGTCGTTAGTGAGAGATATATACCACTATTGAACGTAAGGAAAAATAATGTTTACCCTTGTGCTTGGTTGAGTGTTCTGAGAGAGGCAAACCTCTGGTATGCAGGTTGGTAGATGCCGACCTTGGACACCATCAAGTAGAAGCCCAGCACTGTAGTTGACCAGAAAGTGTGACGCACGAACGGGCTGGTGTCGAGGCTGGGAGGGTAAACAATGTTATACTTAGTCCTCTGGCACATCACATTCTTTATAACCAGCCAAGAAGAAACAGTATTGTGTACAGTCAACAATCACCAGTATGTGATTCACATATAATGAGCATAATATGGAAAAACATCCTAAGAGTACTTTTGGACTATGTAGTTATGTAATGTACTTCAAACGACCGTCTCCAAACCCAATATGTAACGTTCACTTTACACATGTTAATGGAAAGTAGAGTATTACTAATATGTGAACGTTACTTAATCAACTGACATGTTGCCACATCGATCACTAACATTCTGTCCTTCCTGTCACACCTTAATTTAGAGGTTCTTATTATTTCCACAATAAGGGACCTCTGAGGGATTACCACAGGGGGCCCCGCGCCCTTACCACACCGTCGGAGATAAACCATGACCTGCCACCACCGTCACTTCACAGGACTCAATAGCTTGGTTTTACTTTATATATGGTGTGACGGTAATCTCTTTCAAGAGAGATTGAGCCTGCTCTTCCCTACATCATTATGTCAAAGTACAAGATACTATATAGAAGATACGTCCACCAGTATCGCCAAACGTTTTGCCCAGAGAGCAAATCGTACCCAGCACACCCCGACACCTGGCCACAGCCCGTAACCAGCAAACTGCTCATCCTCTGCCTGCCTGTTGCTGATTGGCTGGTGTCTCGTCGCACCTGCCCTCCGCCACCACCACAAGTCGACGTCTGGGCTGCAGCGCGCCAGTCTCGTCAGAATATCTTTGTGCTCCATGAAGTTGACATCTCTCGCTGGTAGACTAAGCCTTGGCTTTCGTGTACTAAGGGAGGTGGCAGCTTGAAGCCAGTATTCCAGCACCCATATTATTTTATTTTGCTATCACTGTAACTTACTTGTCTTAGAGTAACTTTTCATTTGCCAGTGATTATTCATGTTATTTTGTTTGTTGACTTGTCCTGCATTTTATGAGATTGCCTTTATTCATGTCTTGTTTTCTAGAGTAATTAAAATTTCATTGTTTATATACTTGTGTTTTGTGTGTCTTCCCATTACCTTACCACAGACGAAAGGACAAACTTTTCTCTCTTTTTTTGTGATGTGACGAGGCCCTGCCCCCAGCTTTTGAAACAGCCGAACACTAACGCTTTACCGTCACAATGGAGAAACAAGGAATAAAACAACTGACGAAAATCGTAAGGATTTAATCATATTTATATATAGAAAAAGGCCAAACACACTAACAAAATCCAGTCAGAACCTGGGCGATTTTTGCTGGTGTTTATGTTTGACAAAAATATGGACTTGAGGGACACCTGCGAACACTAAATTTCTCTGGGTAAAGAATCCACAAGACTAACAGCGACTTCATCACCTATAAGTTCGCGTCAGTCCTATTTGGGGGCCACATCCTCACTAGGGAGCCGGTCGGCCGAGCGGACAGCACGCTGGACTTGTGATCCTGTGGTCCTGGGTTCGATCCCAGGCGCCGGCTAGTGGAAACTAACAATTCACCCCTAACCATATGGAAATTACTCTCATGTCAGTTATGTTAGAGCCTTTAGGCTTACTTAACCCTATATTAGTTAAGGGCAGACTCCTCATGCAGGAGTGCTGGCAGATTAATATGGGTTGGAATGATCCGTTGCCAAATGATCTGCAGGACAAATGGCAGCAATTAACCAAGGATTTTAATAAACTTAGTATTCATAAATTTCCTCGTAATGCCTTAGGACTGAATTTACACAAAACTTTGCATGTGTTCTGCGATGCCTCCGGCAAAGAGTATTGTACAGTAGCCTATTTAGTTAACACTCAGCAATTATTTTTACTTACTTCTATGGCTAGAAGTAAGTGGAGATAACTGCTTTTATTAGTAAGTGTAAGGCTGGCTCATTGCCTGATCAAGACCCTCAGTAATATTAACTTTGGTGAGATAGTAGTGTGGTCAGACAATGAGGCAGTCTTACAATGGGTAAAAAGCAACAACAATTAAACTCCCTTCGTCAGTAACAGAGTTAGGGGAAATACGAGAGTTGTCAACTTGATATAAACTGAGACATGTCCCCACCAAGGACAATCCAGCTGACTATCTGTCAAGAAGTTTACCCTTAAAACAGTTAGTTAAAACCGAGATGTGGTTTACTGAACCCCAATGGTTGGTCAGTGGCCTAAACAAACGCCACAAGTCATTGTGACCAATACCACTGTCCCATCTGTGGAACTTGAACCCCCCCTCGAATTTTAGCTATTAAGCCTCGCCATTATTCCGATTTGGGTAAATTGCTAGGAGTCACGTGGGTCACACACAGTAGACCGTCACATGGGTCACACACAGCAGACCGTCACATGAGTCACACACAGTTGACCGTCACATGAGTCACACAGTAGACCGTCACATGAGTCACACAGTTGACCGTCACATGAGTCACACAGTAGACCGTCACATGAGTCACACAGTTGACCGTCACATGGGTCACACACAGTAGACCGTCACATGAGTCACACAGTAGACCGTCACATGAGTCACACAGTTGACCGTCACATGGGTCACACAGTAGACCGTCACATGGGTCACACACAGTTGACCGTCACATGGGTCACACAGTTGACCGTCACATGGGTCACACACAGTTGACCGTCACATGAGTCACACAGTTGACCGTCACATGGGTCACACAGTTGACCGTCACATGGGTCACACAGTTGACCGTCACATGAGTCACACAGTTGACCGTCACATGGGTCACACACAGTAGACCGTCACATGAGTCACACAGTAGACCGTCACATGGGTCACACACAGTAGACCGTCACATGGGTCACACAGTTGACCGTCACATGGGTCACACACAGTAGACCGTCACATGGGTCACACACAGTAGACCGTCACATGAGTCACACAGTTGACCGTCACATGGGTCACACACAGTTGACCGTCACGTGGGTCACACACAGTAGACCGTCACATGAGTCACACAGTTGACCGTCACATGGGTCACACAGTTGACCGTCACATGGGTCACACACAGTAGACCGTCACATGGATCACACACAGTAGACCGTCACATGAGTCACACAGTTGACGGTCACACACAGTTGACCGTCACGTGGGTCACACACAGTAGACCGTCACATGAGTCACACAGTTGACCGTCACACGGGTCACACACAGTTGACCGTCACGTGGGTCACACACAGTTGACCGTCACACGGGTCACACACAGTTGACCGTCACATGGGTCACACACAGTTGACCGTCACGTGGGTCACACACAGTAGACCGTCACATGGGTCACACACAGTTGACCGTCACATGGGTCACACACAGTAGACCGTCACGTGGGTCACACACAGTAGACCGTCACATGGGTCACACACAGTTGACCGTCACATGGGTCACACACAGTTGACCGTCACATGGGTCACACACAGTTGACCGTCACATGGGTCACACACAGTTGACCGTCACATGGGTCACACACAGTAGACCGTCACATGGGTCACACACAGTAGACCGTCACATGGGTCACACACAGTAGACCGTCACATGGGTCACACACAGTTGACCGTCACATGGGTCACACACAGTAGACCGTCACATGGGTCACACACAGTTGACCGTCACATGGGTCACACACAGTTGACCGTCACATGGGTCACACACAGTTGACCGTCACATGGGTCACACACAGTAGACCGTCACGTGGGTCACACACAGTAGACCGTCACATGGGTCACACACAGTAGACCGTCACATGGGTCACACACAGTTGACCGTCACATGGGTCACACACAGTAGACCGTCACATGAGTCACACACAGTTGACCGTCACATGGGTCACACACAGTTGACCGTCACATGGGTCACACACAGTTGACCGTCACATGGGTCACACACAGTAGACCGTCACATGAGTCACACACAGTTGACCGTCACATGGGTCACACACAGTTGACCGTCACATGGGTCACACACAGTTGACCGTCACATGGGTCACACACAGTAGACCGTCACATGGGTCACACACAGTAGACCGTCACATGGGTCACACACAGTAGACCGTCACATGGGTCACACACAGTTGACCGTCACATGGGTCACACACAGTAGACCGTCACATGGGTCACACACAGTTGACCGTCACATGGGTCACACACAGTTGACCGTCACATGGGTCACACACAGTTGACCGTCACATGGGTCACACACAGTAGACCGTCACATGGGTCACACACAGTAGACCGTCACATGGGTCACACACAGTTGACCGTCACATGGGTCACACACACAGTAGACCGTCACATGGGTCACACACAGTTGACCGTCACATGGGTCACACACAGTTGAATGTCACATGGGTCACACACAGTAGACCGTCACATGGGTCACACACAGTAGACCGTCACATGGGTCACACACATGACCGTCACACACAGTAGACCGTCACATGGGTCACACACAGTAGACCGTCACATGGGTCACACACAGTAGACCGTCACATGGGTCACACACAGTAGACCGTCACATGGGTCACACACAGTTGACCGTCACATGGGTCACACACAGTTGACCGTCACATGGGTCACACACAGTTGACCGTCACATGGGTCACACACAGTTGACCGTCACATGGGTCACACACAGTTGACCGTCACATGGGTCACACACAGTTGACCGTCACATGGGTCACACACAGTTGACCGTCACATGGGTCACACACAGTTGACCGTCACATGGGTCACACACAGTTGACCGTCACATGGGTCACACACAGTTGACCGTCACATGGGTCACACACAGTAGACCGTCACATGGGTCACACACAGTTGACCGTCACATGGGTCACACACAGTTGACCGTCACATGGGTCACACACAGTTGACCGTCACATGGGTCACACACAGTTGACCGTCACATGGGTCACACACAGTTGACCGTCACATGGGTCACACACAGTTGACCGTCACATGGGTCACACACAGTTGACCGTCACATGGGTCACACACAGTTGACCGTCACATGGGTCACACACAGTTGACCGTCACATGGGTCACACACAGTTGACCGTCACATGGGTCACACACAGTTGACCGTCACATGGGTCACACACAGTTGACCGTCACATGGGTCACACACAGTTGACCGTCACATGGGTCACACACAGTTGACCGTCACATGGGTCACACACAGTTGACCGTCACATGGGTCACACACAGTTGACCGTCACATGGGTCACACACAGTAGACCGTCACATGGGTCACACACAGTTGACCGTCACATGGGTCACACACAGTTGACCGTCACATGGGTCACACACAGTAGACCGTCACATGGGTCACACACAGTTGACCGTCACATGGGTCACACACAGTAGACCGTCACATGGGTCACACACAGTTGACCGTCACATGGGTCACACACAGTTGACCGTCACATGGGTCACACACAGTAGACCGTCACATGGGTCACACACAGTTGACCGTCACATGGGTCACACACAGTTGACCGTCACATGGGTCACACACAGTTGACCGTCACATGGGTCACACACAGTTGACCGTCACATGGGTCACACACAGTAGACCGTCACATGGGTCACACACAGTAGACCGTCACATGGGTCACACACAGTAGACCGTCACATGGGTCACACACAGTAGACCGTCACATGGGTCACACACAGTAGACCGTCACATGGGTCACACACAGTAGACCGTCACATGGGTCACACACAGTAGACCGTCACATGGGTCACACACAGTAGACCGTCACATGGGTCACACACAGTAGACCGTCACATGGGTCACACACAGTTGACCGTCACATGGGTCACACACAGTTGACCGTCACATGGGTCACACACAGTAGACCGTCACATGGGTCACACAGTAGACCGTCACATGGGTCACACACAGTTGACCGTCACATGGGTCACACACAGTTGACCGTCACATGGGTCACACACAGTAGACCGTCACATGGGTCACACACAGTAGACCGTCACATGGGTCACACACAGTAGACCGTCACATGGGTCACACACAGTAGACCGTCACATGGGTCACACACAGTTGACCGTCACATGGGTCACACACAGTAGACCGTCACATGGGTCACACACAGTTGACCGTCACATGGGTCACACACAGTAGACCGTCACATGGGTCACACACAGTAGACCGTCACATGGGTCACACACAGTAGACCGTCACATGGGTCACACACAGTAGACCGTCACATGGGTCACACACAGTTGACCGTCACATGGGTCACACACAGTTGACCGTCACATGGGTCACACACAGTAGACCGTCACATGGGTCACACACAGTAGACCGTCACATGGGTCACACACAGTAGACCGTCACATGGGTCACACACAGTTGACCGTCACATGGGTCACACACAGTTGACCGTCACATGGGTCACACACAGTTGACCGTCACATGGGTCACACACAGTAGACCGTCACATGGGTCACACACAGTAGACCGTCACATGGGTCACACACAGTAGACCGTCACATGGGTCACACACAGTAGACCGTCACATGGGTCACACACAGTTGACCGGGTCACACACAGTAGACCGTCACATGGGTCACACACAGTAGACCGTCACATGGGTCACACACAGTTGACCGTCACATGGGTCACACACAGTAGACCGTCACATGGGTCACACACAGTTGACCGTCACATGGGTCACACACAGTTGACCGTCACATGGGTCACACACAGTAGACCGTCACAGGGGTCACACATAGTGACCAAAGCGAGGTGTTATACTGCCTGCTTGTGTGAATTCATTGACATGAATTCGTTCAAATTATAAATAAAATCGTAAAGAAATTGCATGGAGCATTTGTATGGAAATACCATACATTACAATGTTATAAAAAGATATGTTTTGTACCAACGAATATTGGTAGAACTTGGCTATAATTTGTGTTGACATATGTTCAGTAATTCGACATGATAAAAGCCGCATAACGAAGAAATATTGTACACCTTACAACAAATTAGAAGACTTACGGTTACAGAAGCTGATGTGCATTACAATAATATACATATGTTGACCAATCCACACAAGAAAATGTAGGGATGAAGACGTTTCGGTCCGTCCTGGACCATTCTCAATTGATTGTACTTGACAATCTGCTTGAGAATGGTCCAGGACAGACCGAAACGTCGCCGTCCCTTCATTTTCTAGTGTGTGGATTGGTCAACATATTTCAGCCACGTTATTGGGACTCATCGCCTGTATATCAATAATATATATAGTATGCGACAGGTTTAGCAAGCGCACCACTGGGATTATATAGGAAGCAATGACTTATGAGACAATATTACTAATAAAGGCATCAACTCACTTGAAGAACTCGATCCTGGAGCCTTGGTCAGCAAGAGCCCAAACATTACCGACACCACCGAGGTCAACACAGGTGATGGTGACCACCAGCAACACCCCACCGAACATGAGCAGAGTCTGCATCACATCTGTGTACACCACGGCCTTCACTCCCCCCTGTGGATAATGTGAGAACATGTACACTGTCACACATCTGTGTACACCACGGCCTTCACTCCCCCCTGTGGATAATGTGTCTGTGTACACCTCTGTGGATAATGTGAGAACATTGGCCTTCACATCACCATGAAGAGTTGTTATAATTCAAAATTTGTCTTCCCATTTGTTAGCAGACTAGCTGTTCCACCTGCCAGAGGTTAAGGAGAGCAGACTAGCTGTTCCACCTGCCAGAGGTTAAGGAGAGCAGACTAGCTGTTCCACCTGCCAGAGGTTAAGGACAGCAGACTAGCTGTTCCACCTGCCAGAGGTTAAGGAGAGCAGACTAGCTGTTCCACCTGCCAGAGGTTAAGGAGAGCAGACTAGCTGTTCCACCTGCCAGAGGTTAAGGAGAGCAGACTAGCTGTTCCACCTGCCAGAGGTTAAGGAGAGCAGACTAGCTGTTCCACCTGTTCCACCTGAGGTTAAGGAGCAGCAGACCTGCCAGAGGTTAGCTGTTCCACCTGCCAGAGGTTAAGGAGAGCAGACTAGCTGTTCCACCTGCCAGAGTTTAAGGAGAGCAGACTAGCTGTTCCACCTGCCAGAGTTTAAGGAGAGCAGACTAGCTGTTCCACCTGCCAGAGTTTAAGGAGAGCAGACTAGCTGTTCCACCTGCCAGAGTTTAAGGAGAGCAGACTAGCTGTTCCACCTGCCAGAGGTTAAGGAGAGCAGACTAGCTGTTCCACCTGCCAGAGGTTAAGGAGAGCAGACTAGCTGTTCCACCTGCCAGAGGTTAAGGAGAGCAGACTAGCTGTTCCACCTGCCAGAGGTTAAGGAGAGCAGACTAGCTGTTCCACCTGCCAGAGGTTAAGGACAGCAGACTAGCTGTTCCACCTGCCAGAGGTTAAGGAGAGCAGACTAGCTGTTCCACCTGCCAGAGGTTAAGGACAGCAGACTAGCTGTTCCACCTGCCAGAGGTTAAGGAGAGCAGACTAGCTGTTCCACCTGCCAGAGGTTAAGGAGAGCAGACTAGCTGTTCCACCTGCCAGAGGTTAAGGAGAGCAGACTAGCTGTTCCACCTGCCAGAGGTTAAGGACAGCAGACTAGCTGTTCCACCTGCCAGAGTTTAAGGAGAGCAGACTAGCTGTTCCACCTGCCAGAGGTTAAGGACAGCAGACTAGCTGTTCCACCTGCCAGAGGTTAAGGAGAGCAGACTAGCTGTTCCACCTGCCAGAGGTTAAGGAGAGCAGACTAGCTGTTCCACCTGCCAGAGGTTAAGGACAGCAGACTAGCTGTTCCACCTGCCAGAGGTTAAGGAGAGCAGACTAGCTGTTCCACCTGCCAGAGGTTAAGGACAGCAGACTAGCTGTTCCACCTGCCAGAGGTTAAGGAGAGCAGACTAGCTGTTCCACCTGCCAGAGGTTAAGGACAGCAGACTAGCTGTTCCACCTGCCAGAGGTTAAGGAGAGCAGACTAGCTGTTCCACCTGCCAGAGTTTAAGCGATCATTTTCATATTTTCTTTTCACTATTTATCCTGCATTGTCCTCTTTCCCGGTGGTGTTTGAACGGATCTGACGGGAAGCGCTATAAGTTTTGTGGAAGGAAGCGTGAGTTGTGGACCGTATGGTTATAAGTCCTGCTAAACTTGAGAGTTGGAGACTGTTTCCACTCTCACTCTTAACTCCTTTTCCCTCGCATCTGAGAGACGGTTCTCAAGACTGTGGGTAAATTCATCGTCCTTCATCTACATGCTTCAGTATTGGCTAAGTCGTTGCCAGACGTGAATGTGCTCGAATCCCACTTCTTGTGGGATTCGGTGCATTCGGATTGGGTGCAATAATCCACTTCTTACCCACTTGCACGGAATCTCACCTTCCTCCTGCCTTCCGTTCGTGATCACATGCTTTGAAGTTGATCACAATTCCGGTACTCCTATAATGACCTCTTTACAAGCTGTGACCTCCAGTCTGCTCTCCAGCACTGGCCGGTGGTGGGCTCTGTACTGTTCTCACTATGAGATGCTCCACACCTCCTTCTCATAACTTACAGAATATATAAAGTATTTATGCATGACTGGTAGTCGGAGAGACCTTGACGGATGCCTGGCCTGAGGCGATTGTTCACATTAGGGAAGTGTGTGAAGGTAAGCACATTAATTGAGAACTTTTAGTATAAACTCAAGAGATAAATATATTATTGATATAATTTTTATTCAGTGTGCATTTATCTGCTATTTAGTGCTAAAAATAATTAAGAAATAGGTATTGCAGTATCAAATTGGGATCCATAGTTACAATTGTTATATAAAAGGTGCAGACGGAGCCCATGATGCCCATTGAGACTGTGGTGGAAAGGTTGGTGACGGTGGACAGAGCCAAGGACGGAGTGTACAGACAGATGCCCAAATAGAAGAACATCATGAGCAGCTGGCAACCCGTCACCAGCATCCTCAGTGCACGTGACTTGTAGCGCTTCTCTATGTACTGACAAGAGAAAAATTTAAGAATTATATCATTTAATATAATTGACAAACATAATATATTGTCAGAGCATTTTGACGGTCGTGAGCACAATATGGACACTATACTCGCTATGATCTAGGAACGTAGTAACGTATGGAGTAATATTGAGGTGAGTAAGAGTTGAGTGGACTACTCATGGACTCAGAACTGAGTACAATAATAAGGTTATCACTGGAGTGTGAGTACAATAATAAGGTTATCACTGGAGTGTGAGTACAATAATAAGGTTATCACTGGAGTGTGAGTACAATAATAAGGTTATCACTGGAGTGTGAGTACAATAATAAGGCTATCACTGGAGTGTGAGTACAATAATAAGGTTATCACTGGAGTGTGAGTACAATAATAAGGTTATCACTGGAGTGTGAGTACAATAATAAGGCTATCACTGGAGTGTGAGTACAATAATAAGGCTATCACTGGAGTGTGAGTACAATAATAAGGCTATCACTGGAGTGTGAGTACAATAATAAGGCTATCACTGGAGTGTGAGTACAATAATAAGGCTATCACTGGAGTGTGAGTACAATAATAAGGCTATCACTGGAGTGTGAGTACAATAATAAGGTTATCACTGGAGTGTGAGTGCAGTAATAAGGTTATCACTGGAGTGTGAGTGCAGTAATATGGTTATCACTGGAGTGTGAGTGCAGTAATAAGGTTATCACTGGAGTGTGAGTGCAGTAATAAGGTTATCACTGGAGTGTGAGTGCAGTAATAAGGTTATCACTGGAGTGTGAGTACAATAATAAGGTTATCACTGGAGTGTGAGTACAATAATAAGGCTATCACTGGAGTGTGAGTGCAGTAATAAGGTTATCACTGGAGTGTGAGTGCAGTAATAAGGTTATCACTGGAGTGTGAGTGCAGTAATAAGGTTATCACTGGAGTGTGAGTGCAGTAATAAGGTTATCACTGGAGTGTGAGTGTAGTAATAAGGTTATCACTGGAGTGTGAGTGCAGTAATAAGGTTATCACTGGAGTGTGAGTGTAGTAATAAGGTTATCACTGGAGTGTGAGTGCAGTAATAAGGTTATCACTGGAGTGTGAGTGCAGTAATAAGGTTATCACTGGAGTGTGAGTGTAGTAATAAGGTTATCACTGGAGTGTGAGTGCAGTAATAAGGTTATCACTGGAGTGTGAGTGTAGTAATAAGGTTATCACTGGAGTGTGAGTGTAGTAATAAGGTTATCACTGGAGTGTGAGTGCAGTAATAAGGTTATCACTGGAGTGTGAGTGTAGTAATAAGGTTATCACTGGAGTGTGAGTGCAGTAATAAGGTTATCACTGGAGTGTGAGTGTAGTAATAAGGTTATCACTGGAGTGTGAGTACAATAACTGGAGATCCCACACTGGAGTGTGGGATCAATACGTCTCCTCACCGAAGCAAACTTGGCGTTAGGGTTAACCTAAGTCAATATAGTTTGGTAAAAAGATTTGTGACAATTTCTGATATTCATTTGAATTTAGCTTGTTCATATTATTGTTATATATGTCAGGAAAAAATTTACCAAAACTAAAAAAATATATTGATCTAAAAACCGACATATGTACGAAATAATATAAAGCCAATGTTTGCAGTTACAAAGCCAATGTTTACAGTTACAAAGTTCAGGACTGTTGGCCTTAATATCAGCTTTACTTCTGGCCAACTTATGTTTATTTCAACACAGCAAAGCATATATGGGTAGGATAAAGTTAGGTAACTTGTGAGGCAAGTTGCTGGGACGATGTAGTTCATTGACATTGGGTGTTGTTCCTTCACTCTGACCTATTACAGTATATTAATGTAATTTACTACAAGTGAAGCATCAAGTTTGGCCAACAACGGGAGCTTAGATGTGACGGAACTTTCGTCCTAAACCCTCATTATAGCAGAAGATATATGTATATTAATCAAACTTCACAAAAAGACACGCATTGTCAAACTCGCTACACACACACAAACACACACACACACACACACACACACACACACACACACACACACACACACACACACACACACACACACACACACACACACACACACAACACACACACACACACACACACACACACACACACACACACACACACACACACACACACACACACACACACACACACACACACACACACACACAAACAAGAAACAACAAGAAACTTTCTAAGTCAACACGTCAAGGGACCGACAAGAACGAGAGGAGGGGATGAACCAGCCTTGCTTGATCTGATATTTACCCTAAATGAGTCGGATATAAGGGAAGTTAAGTTGGAAGCCCCCTTGGGAATGAGTGATCATAGTGTATTGAGCTTTGAGTACCTGGTTGAGCTAGGAATTACTCGGAAAGAAGTCTGTACAAGACATGATGGACTATGTCACCCAAAAATGTCAGGAGGCTGTAAGCAGGTTTGTCCCAGCCCAACAGGAAAAAACAGAGAAGCAAAGGAAGAATCCGTGGTTTAATAGGGAATGTATGAAAGCAAAGGAGCTGAACAAAAGGGCATGGAGGAACTTCCGTAATAACAGAACACCAGAAAGTAGAGAGAGATACCAGAGAACCAGGAACGAGTATGTTAGTGTGAGAAGAGCAGCTGAGAAATTATGAAAATGATATAGCTAATAAAGCCAAGACCGAACCAAAGCTACTACACAGTCACATCAGGAGGAAGACAACAGTGAAGGAACAGGTGATGAAACTTAGGGTGGGCGAGGACAGGTACACTGAGAATGACAAAGAGGTGTGTGAAGAACTCAACAAAAGGTTCCAGGAGGTCTTTACAATAGAACAGGGAGAAGTCACGGTGCTAGGAGAGGTGGCAGCAAACCAGGTGACCTTGGAAAGTTTCGAAATTACAAGAGATGAGGTCAAGAAGCACCTATTGGAGCTGGATGTGAGAAAAGCTGTTGGGCCGGATGGAATCTCACCATGGGTATTGAAAGAGTGTGCAGGAGCACTTAGTTTGCCACTCTCCATAGTGTATAGTAGGTCACTGGAAACGGGAGACCTACCAGAAGTATGGAAGACTGCTAATGTAGTACCAATATTTAAAAAGGGTGACAGACAAGAGGCACTGAACTACAGGCCAGTGTCCTTAACTTGTATACCATGCAAGGTGGAGGAGAAGATTGTGAGAAAAAACTTAGTAACACATCTGGAGAGAAGAGACTTCGTGACAACCCATCAACATGGGTTCAGGGAGGGTAAATCTTGCCTTACAGGCTTGATAGAATTCTATGATCAGGTGACAAAGATTAAGCAAGAAAGAGAAGGATGGGCGGACTGCATTTTTTTGGACTGTCGGAAAGCCTTTGACACAGTACCCCATAAAAGGTTGATGCATAAGCTGGAGAAACAGGCAGGAGTAACTGGTAGGGCGCTCCAGTGGATAAGGGAGTACCTAAGCAATAGGAAGCAGAGTTATAGTGAGGGGTGAGACCTCAGAATGGCGGGAAGTCACCAGTGGAGTCTCACAGGGCTCTGTGCTTGGACCTATCCTGTTTCTGATATACGTAAATGATCTCCCAGAGGGTATAGACTCATTCCTCTCAATGTTTGCTGACGACGCCAAAATTATGAGAAGGATTAAGACAGAGGAGGACAGCTTGAGGCTGCTTCAAGAAGACCTGGACAAGCTGCAGGAATGGTCGAACAAATGGATGTTAGAGTTTAACCCAAGCAAATGTAATGTAATGAAGATAGGAGTAGGAAGCAGGAGACCAGATACAAGGTATCACTTGGGAGATGAAATACTTCAAGAGTCAGAGAGAGAGAAAGACCTGGGGGTTGATATCACGCCAGACCTGTCCCCTGAAGCTCATATCAAGAGGATAACATCAGCAGCATATGCCAGGTTGGCTAACATAAGAACGGCCTTTAGAAACTTGTGTAAGGAATCTTTCAGAACATTATATACTACATATGTCAGACCAATCCTGGAGTATGCGGCTCCAGCATGGAGCCCATATCTAGTCAAGCATAAGACTAAACTGGAAAAGGTTCAAAGGTTTGCCACCAGACTAGTACCCGAGCTGAGAGGTATGAGCTACGAGGAGAGACTACGGGAATTGAACCTCACTTCGTTGGAAGACAGAAGAGTTAGGGGGGACATGATCACCACATTCAAGATTCTCAAGGGAATCGACAGGGTTGATAAAGATAGGCTATTTAACACAAGGGGCACACGCACTAGGGGACACAGGTGGAAACTGAGTGCCCAAATGAGCCACAGAGATATTAGAAAGAACTTTTTTAGTGTCAGAGTGGTTGACAAATGGAATGCATTAGGAAGCAATGTGGTGGAGGCTGACTCCATACACAGTTTCAAGTGTAGATATGATAGAGCCCAATAGGCTCAGGAACCTGTACACCTGTTGATTGACGGTTGAGAGGCGGGACCAAAGAGCCAGAGCTCAACCCCCGCAAGCACAACTAGGTGAGTACAACTAGGTGAGTACACACACACACACACACACTGGTGAGTACACACACACACACACACACACACACACACACATTCTTAAATATTTATATATTAAATTCCATTGACACTGGAGACAATTCAAATTAGGAATTGAATATACAATAAAGACCCATTTTGCAATTGACACTGTATATAATATTTGATGTAATTACTATAAGAAACAGACTTGAAAGTAAGTATGTCATAACCAATTCCCAGACCCGCAAACTTTTGCCTAGTATGCAAGGCGGATTTGCCTAACAGGCAAAGAGAGAGAGAGATTTTATTTTCAAATATTTTATCCAAATTGGTTTATTACAATTATTATTACTATAATTTTAACTTAACAACATGAAATCATTCTGACTTAGTTGTCAGAAATTAAAAAAAAAACTAGTCAAATTTCTATGCTAGTTTTACTTAAAACAAATAATATCATATAATATAATGAAAACTTTTATCATTCCATTAGAACAAAATTAGAAATATATCTAGGAGCACAAGAGGATTGCCTAGTTTTGCAACATAAATACTAATAGAGAATTAATGTTGTAAAACACGTTAGGAAGGCTTTTATATACCTCCCATATATAAGACTTGAAAACTTGAGAGAGCTTTGCCAAAGTTTCAGTATAAAGTAAGACAAATGAATGTTTATAACTTTGATTAAGTTTAAGTGTTATAATAAAAGTATTTCTTGCTTGATACAGAGCTATATCAATAAAGGCCTTAGGATAATACTACTTTGTAGCAATATCATAAAACTTGGACATTTCGTCATCAATAAATTCAGGACTGCACTCACGCAGAGCTCTAAGAAACATTGAAGAAAACTCTAAATACTTAACCTTAGTGTGATGATTTATGAAATAACGAGCCTAGGAGCAAACGTTAGTGACCTTTCAAATACTAGAGGGGCTGGTCCCAAACCTGCACACAGAAATAACATCACATGAGACCAGAAGACATGGCAGGATGTGCAGAATACCCCCGTTGAAAAGCAGAGGTGCAACAGGTACTCTGAGAGAGAACTCTATCAACATCAGAGGCCCGAGACTGTTCAACACGCTTCCACTAAACATAAGGGGCATAACTGGCCGACCCCTCACAGTGTTCAAGAGAGAACTGGATAAGCACCTCCAAAGGATACCTGATCAACCAGGCTGTGACTCATACGTCAGGCTGCGAGCAGCCGCGTCTAACAGCCTGGTTGATCAGTCCAGCAACCAGGAGGCCTGGTCGACGACCGGGCCGCGGGGACACTAAGCCCCGGAAGCACCTCAAGGTAACCTCAAGGTAAGGTAACCTTCCTGAAAAAAAATCCATTTTAGGGTACTCTCTGTTCTGTGGATCTTTAAATCCAAAAAGGGTGAGGCTACATTTTTTCTTCCTCAATAGTTTATCTGATGGAAGGAAGCAAGCCCGAAGTCTACCAAGAAGTTTGGATTAGTTGGATCCAGATTTTCAGGCCAAAGGCACAATATACTACAGGTTTGCTGATGGCATAGTTAACAAACATAATTATAAATGTTATGAGCAGCACAACAAATAAACATAAAACCAAATGTATAAAGTACTTTACTTGGCTGAGAGAAACAATTTTGAGGTTGTAGAATATTGGCAGAATGACTTGATGTACAAACACGCATCCCGGGATGATCCCTAGTAAACATGTGCACAGCTGAGTCCCAAATAAATATAGTTCTGTAGCATTACCTGAGGACAATAATGAAAAATTAATCTGATTATATAAATATTATTAAATATATAATATATATATATATATATATATATATATATATATATATATATATATATATATATATATATATATATATATATATATATATATATATATGTATATATATAGCAGGTAGCAGTCTTTCCTGTAGACATATATTATTAAATATGACCGAAAAAGTAAGATTATTAATTCTAACCCGAATTTTCTCGATCTTTCTTACGTTTCTTTTCACTGTTGATGGTAATTCAAAGATCAATTCTCCAAAATTCATTTTTATTTCTAGTCTGACGCGACACTTGAGCGCGTTTCGTAAAACTTATTACATTTTCAAAGACTTTAGTTTACACAAGCACACACAACTTTAACTGAATAGAGCTTAAACATCTTTCGAGTTTACAGCGATAGCAGGCGGCTTGACGTCTGCGAGGCACTACACATCAAGAAGTCAACACCAGCAATCAACAGCCAATTAATGCACAACTATATTCTACCCACTTCAAGACTCCGCTCCAATATAGAAGCATCAAGAAATATGGGCCAATAAAAATAGGCCTTCTGCAGTTACCTACTTTTAATACCTGTTTGTATTTCATTGTTTCGTGTTCTGTCTTGTGTTAAAAGTTTATTTTCACCTCATCCAAAACTATTGTAACATGTCACTTCACCCAAATGTAGGCATAAAAACTGGAAAGATGTTTAAGTTCTATTCAGTTAAAGTTGTGTGTGTTTGTGTAAACTAAAGTCTTTGAAAATGTAATAAGTTTTACGAAACGCGCTCAAGTGTCGCGTCAGACTAGAAATAAAAATGAATTTTAGAGAATTGATCTTTGAATTACCATCAACAGTGAAAAGAAACGTAAGAAAGATCGAGAAAATTCGTGTTAGAATTATTAATCTTACTTTTTCGGTCATATTAATAATATATATATTATATATATATATATATATATATATATATATATATATATATATATATATATATATATATATATATATATATATATATATATATATATATATATATATGTCGTACCTAGTAGCCAGAACACACTTCTCAGCCTACTATGCAAGGCCCAATTTGCCTAATAAGCCAAGTTTTCATGAATTAATTGTTTTTCGAGTACCTAACCTACCTAACCTAACCTAACCTAACTTTTTCGGCTACCTAACCTAACCTAACCTATAAAGATAGGTTAGGTTAGGTTAGGTAGGGTTGGTTAGGTTCGGTCATATATCTACGTCAATTTTAACTCCAATAAAAAAAAATTGACCTCATACATAATGAAATGCGTAGCTTTATCATTTCATAAGCAAAAAATTTGAGAAAATATATTAATTCAGGAAAACTTCGCTTATTAGGCAAATCGGGCCTTGCATAGTAGGCTGAGAAGTGCGTTCTGGCTATTAGGTACGACATATATATATATATATATATATATATATATATATATATATATATATATATATATATATATATATATATATATATATATATATATATAACTGAAAACTCACACCCCAGAAGTGCCTCGAACCCATACTGCCAGGAGCAACGCAACTGGTATGTACAGGACACCTTAATCCACTCGACCATGCGTTGCTCCTGGCAGTATGGTTTCGAGTCACTTCTGGGGTGTGAGTTTTCAGTTGCATATTGTCCTGGGGACCATTCAGGCTTGTTCGCATTTGTGTTCCTCACGTGTGCCCCAAAGAATGAGGTGATTTGATAAAATACTATGCTCAAGATTACTATCCGAGTGTCGGTGGGGGGTGGTTCAAATAGTTTCGGCTATCGCCTCCTTATGTCCAGTCGTGATGGTCGAGTGGATTAAGGTGTCCTGTACATACCAGTTGCGTTGCTCCTGGCATTATGGGTTCGAGGCACTTCTGGGGTGTGAGTTTTCAGTTATATATATATATATATATATATATATATATATATATATATATATATATATATATATATATATATATATATATATATATATATATATATGTCGTACCTAGTAGCCAGAACGCACTTCTCAGCCTACTATGCAAGGCCCGATTTGCCTAATAAGCCAAGTTTTCATGAATTAATGTTTTTTCGTCTACCTAACCTAACCTAACCTAGCTTTTTTTGGCTACCTAACCTAACCTTAACCTCATACATAGAGAAAAGGGTTGCTTTATCATTTCATAACAAAAAAATTATAGTAAATATATTAATTCAGGAAAACTTGGCTTATTAGGCAAATCGGGCCTTGAATAGTAGGCTGAGAAGTGAGTTCTGGCTACTAGGTACGACATATATATATATATATATATATATATATATATATATATATATATATATATATATATATATATATGTCGTACCTAGTAGCCAGAACGCACTTCTCAGCCTACTATGCAAGGCCCAATTTGCCTAATAAGCCAAGTTTTTATGAATTGTTTTTCGACTACCTAACCTAACTTTTTCGGCTACCTAACCTAACCTAACCTATAAAGATAGGTTAGGTTAGGTTAGGTAGGGTTGGTTAGGTTCGGTCATATTTATACGTTAATTTTAACTCCAATAAAAAAAAATTGACCTCATACATAATGAAATGGGTAGCTTTATCATTTCATAAGAAAAAAATTAGAGAAAATATATTAATTCATGAAAACTTGGCTTATTAGGCAAATCGGCCCTTGCATAGTAGGCTGAGAAATGCGTTCTGGCTACTAGGTACGACATATATATATATATATATATATATATATATATATATATATATATATATATATATATATATATATATATATATATATATATATATATATATATATATATATATATATATATATATAGGGGGGTACCACCTCTGGTGCAATTATAGGGACCCACAGCCTCAGAGAAGGGAACACAGAGCATTCAGGGAAAAACTTGCCATTTAACTCTGAATACTTAAGAGTGTTCGCTTCTCCTACCACCTCCCTTTTTTATGGTGTACACTTTATTATGTAAGGTTATACAGTTAAATATCTGATGTTATACAAAAAATTAACATTAAGAGGATACAAAAAAAGTTCGCTTCCTAGAAGCTGTAGATTTCCTCGAACTCCTCCGACGCCGGGCAGGAACCGAGGATGCAGCGAGCATTCCCCCTCTGGATCGCAACACTGAGGCGCTGAAAAAGAAAACTTGCTGCTCTAGGGTCTCTTGTGGTGTCAATGAGCTTGGAACCAAGATTCTTAAGAAACCTTCTTGCACTCTCTCCCCATGGGCCTAGGGTCTCAGACCCTATTGGAACGAAGTTGTACCGATGATCTAATTGCCTGTACTTGGCTGACTTGTCTCTTTCTCTGTGTGTCGCCGCGGCTCCTGCTGTGCCGGCAGAGAGGTTGATGTATGTGGTTGCCAGGGTGGATACACAAGTATAGTCCCATGCCAACTGTCTGCCACCCTTCCACGGTCGCAGTGTGATTCCGTCTGGTCGGCCGGCCAAGCTAACAGAGTCACGGTTTAGTAGGTTGCGGGGCTCTCTCTCCGCTGGACACTGAGCAGAGGCAAGGCTTCTTTTAATGATGTCATTGACTTCGTCGTGTCTAGTGTGCCAACCACCAGATTTTCCACAGTGCAGGCCATGCAATCCATATTCGTCAGCATCTGCCTCGCCGCAAATACACCTGTGAACAGTGTGGATAGGGGCATAGATTACCTAAGTGAGTGTGTGTATATATATATATATATATATATATATATATATATATATATATATATATATATATATATATATATATATATATATATATATATATATATATATATATATATATATATATATATATATATATATATATATATATATATATATATATATATATATATATATATATATATATATATATATATATATATATATATATATATATATATATATATATATATATATATATATATATATATATATATATATATTTATATAATATGTGTGTGTGTGTAGCCAGAGGTGCGTTCTGGCTAGTCAAAGGTAGAGTGGAGGAAGTTATATCATTGATGGCTACATATTGGTGTCTGTCACTAAGATAGGATCGAATATAGTTCAGGAGAAGGCCTCTGATTCCATAATGGTGAAGTTCAAGTAAGAAGTAGTTATGGTTAACAGTATCAAAGGGCTTTCTTGGGGGCAATGAAGAGCCCAATTAGGAACTTACTTTTGTCAAGGGCTGTGCAAATTATATATAGCAGACTAAAATTGCAATATTGGAACTCTTTTTGGAAGCAGACGCCAAACTGACCGGGACTTAATATGCTCAAGTTTTACGAGGTATGAGTAAAGCTGTTGGTAAATTATGTTTTCAAATATTTTTTATACCAGTATAGGTAGATTAGGTATCGGTCTGTAATTGTTTATGTCTGCCGTATCGTCATCTTTATAAACTGGCGTCAAGGAAAGTCTGACACTAGAGATTTGTTGCAATAGCAGAGTTATGGGTGGTGAAAGGGCATGAGGGGCACTCTTTTATACCATAGATGGTATTTGACTAATGTTCCTAGCTTTGGTTCACAGAAGTATCTTGCAGTATTTGTATGATATAAATACAGGTGTGATTACCTAAGTGTAGTTACAGGATGAGGCCTACACTTGTGGTGTCCCGTCTTCCCAGTACTCTTTGTTGTATAACGGTTTAAAACTAATGAAGGTTTTGCCAACCATCACCTTCTCACTTAATTTATTCCAACCGTCTACCACTCTGTTTGCAAAAGGAAACTTTCTAATATATTTTCAGCC